TACAGTAGATGGGTTATTCTCTGTTACCCTTCTCGTATGACTGCTCTAACAAGCATAAGAAGAACTTTTGTGACTAAATAGAAATGATCATTTAAAGAGCCGAGCCCTTTAATTTTAGGGTATTACTAATAACTTCATTGTGGTTATGCATATTGTTACATAATCTCCTAACATTTTAAAATATCCACGTAGTTTTATGTAATGTGAAAAAAGGATGAAAGTAGCTCATATTACAAACAACTGATCTAGACGCAGCTCAAATATGCATGTGATGAAATTACAATTTGTTCCCTTAAACCTCTCTCCCTAACAATATTCCATAAATATCTACCTAATTTCTCTATGGTTTTGCACTAATATCCACCTAAATATGTCCGCATAATTTTCTTACAGTTTCATGCAAGGTTGTTAGACCCTCATACTATTTAGTATTTAAGTAAAGCTTAATACTAGTATTTTAACTAATTAATGACATTATAGAAGTTGGTTTTCATCAAATTTTCACTTTATATAATAAAGTTATAAGAGTTTTGTATGAAAATTTTGGAACGTTGAGAGGGTCATGTAGTAATATGTGTAACCACATAAAGGTTACAAGTTAACTGCCCTTAATTTCAATAAAATACATTGATCAATGTGTCCAATGGCTTGGCTAGTTATACGTGAAAAAGTTAGGAAAAAAAATTGTCAAGAAGTATGTTTTCTCATCCACGTTCGGTGTACTGGCAAAATGGTAGTCACGTATACAGCGTATTTTGATGGTAAAGCAGCATTAGATGATTTAACAAATGGCACGAAAGCCTTTTCTTTTCTTTTACTTTCTCCATCTCACGTGAGAATATGTAATCTTCGCATAATTAGTCATTTGACAATGTGATTTCTTTTCTTTTGTTCTAATTAAAGCACTAAGAGTCATTTTGAGTAGGACTGTCAATGGGGCTGGGCCAGCCCGAGCTCGGCTCGTTCGGCCCGACAGAAAGCCCGATGAGCCCGATCATTTAGTGAGCCGGTCTGAGTTTGAGCCTAAAAATTAGGCCCGAATTAAATGTGAGCCGAGCTTGGGCCTTATTAGGCTCATACCCGATATAAGCCCGGCCCTTTAATTACACATATATATAATATTTATATTTTGATATTATGTATAATTATATATCCAAATATATTTTTGCTAAATACTAAATATATATATAAATTACAAAACACAAAAACACATCTAAAGACTCTTTCATGAGCTTTCTTGAGAGCCAATATTAGTAATGCATAACTAAATTTCTAATTTTTCTTATTGGTTGAGTAACTTTTTGTATTGGCATATTATTGGTTGATTTTTTTTTTTGGTCTACAAACACAAAAATCATCAAGCATATTTGGATTTAAATCACAAGATTATAAAAAAAAGTTTCAACTTTTAAAGATGTATTGGCTTATGATTGCATGTTTTATTACTATTTTTCATGCATTTTAAACGGATTACATATAAATATTGTTGAAAAAATTTTGGTTTATATACTTTTTAAGAACTATTATTTGTTCATGTTTAGTTTTAAGATTATAGTCTTGTAAATGTTAAATTAGTTTTACAACTTAATAGTTATAGTAATTATATTAAGAAAATTCAGGAGTAATAAGTGAGCTTGGGCTAAACCCGATTAAGGCTCACAACCCGAATATTATGTGAGCTGAGTATGAGCTTCACATTTACGAACCCGAAACTCATAGCCCGAAACCCGAAAATGTCTCAAATTAAATGAGTTGAACTTGAACACATCAAAGCCCGGCTCATTAGGCCCGATTGACAGGCCTAATTTTGAGGAACCTTCGTTTCGAGCCATATAAAGGAACTAAAACGGTAACAAATTCCTGATTGCAGTTAACGAGTCATTCGGATGTCAGAACGTATGATGTTATTTTTCTTTTTCTTTTTCATGTAAATTATAACTTTTACTAATAAGCATGAAATAGTCACAAGAAGCAAAACTGCTGCACAAGTATACTACAAACTCTAATAACTAGACAAAAAGTGGACTATACAAAAAAGCTTCTTGGAAAATCCCGAATCCACAGAAAACTCGTAGTTTTCCCGAGTCCATTGATTTCTTGTCGAGTTAGCTACATGATGGGACAGTTCCCACAATTTCATGAACTAACGAATCAGCAGTACAATTAAACCTCATGCTGGAAAATTCCAAGATTAACGTATGATGGATTAATCATGTTTCCATTAGAATTAACGTTGTTGTAGTGACTGTCAGTGAGATCATCATGAAAGTGCTTTTTTTTTTTTTAAGGTTACGCTTGATAAAATTAAAATCTGAATTTGTTAAGTTACTAAATTATTAAGTACTAAAATCTTAATATTTGAGCCTATTTTGCATTAAGTAATAAATGAACAACTTATCACTAGCTTGTTATTTTGAGTAATTTTTACCTGAACAATTTAAAACCATTTAATTAATTAAGTCGTTCTATATTTTGCTATCAAACATGTCTAAACATATTAAAATCTCAATCCATTAAATTTAAGTACTGAATTGGACTATTTTCGTGTTCCACCCTACTTCAATAATTGAACCAGTAAAGTCCCTATAGCTAGTAGTTCAGTAGTCTTGATTCCAACATTGCATTCTTTGTCCTTTTTAATTACCTTTCATATTCAACTTTGGTTGGCCCAAATTTGTAATATTTGATCCTTCAAGTTAACAATTGTTTGATAGCTTTCTTGTGTAATTCAAGAAAAAAACTATCCATACATGAAGTAGCTTCACACCCATCTTTCTCACTAGAATTATTTTGGTTCAGTGACAACTCATGCTCACCAAGCAGTCTTTCGCAGCCAAACCATGCAGATGCATGCAGGATTCAAGAACGAAGCAGCCTTTCTCAATCAGATACGCCTACCCTATCCACTGAGTTCAAGTACATGGACCGCATATTTTTGTGAAACTATCACCAGCCAACTGATTGGATGAATGTCTTGCGAGAAGTTTTTGAGCATTATGCTGAAATTGTTTCTTCTTCTTTAAATTTATGTTTTTTTTTTTTTTGGGGTCTACTTTTTTACTAAGGTATCTAATGGCACGGGTTCAGCCCAAAATTATCACGAAATTAACCTTAACTTTTAATTTGAGTATTTAGTCATGAATATCTAATTAAGCTGTTTCAGACTTGAATTACTATAGCCATGTTCCGTAGCAAAAATTTACTGGAGTATTTACACCAGAAATCCTTAAACTTAGCTTTAGATCACGTTAACTTGTGGTCCTTGTACCTCTTTAATTCGTGCATCTAATCCTCAGTGCTTTACATTTCCAAAGCAGATATTTAATTCTTCAACTACAATCTAGAAATCTAGGTGCCAAAAAGTATTTAATGTTACTTGTTACACGAACAATAATTTTGTAAATTAATATTTACTACATTTGACAGTGTATACAATAACGAGTTTGAATACATTTCACATTAGTTCGATCTGAGTTTGAGTTCTGAATTTTACACATGCAACATATGTGCAAATCAACTAATGTATATGTTGTCAGTATACAAAAAAATATATATATACATATTTATTTTTGGGCACAATGCCATAGAAATCAGGTCAAGCCTTGCACCAAAAAGACTAGATGGTTTATTTTTATATGAGAAAAGGAAAATGAAATTAGCGTTGCATTTTTTTCTTTGCAAGAAATGCCATTCTTTTTTGTCGCAAAAAGTTACGAAAAGGATTGTCTGGTTGCACTGTGCCAATCATCTGACACGTAAACGTGTGGAAACAAACACTTGAAGACCATTTCGACTTTTTATCCGATAAATCTTTTGATACAAGGGAGGATTCGTCACAAATGTCAGGCGCAAACGCAACCGAGAGTTCATGGCTGGGAATTTCTGATCTGAAAAGCACTTAATTGCACGTATTGCCATGTTGGAAAGACTAACGCACCTTCAAATTAGACTAACTTTTTTCTTCCACAAATGTTAGAGAAAACGCACACACACCGCTAAGATCAAACGACGCAGAAAACATTGCTAAAATTGCTAAAATCGGCCCACAAAGACAGTCTAATGGGGACCTACAGAGAAACCTCATCCAGCCAATTGGTGATAGGAAGGGCTTCCCATGGATCTTAAACCCAGAGTAACTATCCCACGATCTTTCGATGTGGGATGGTGCACCCATCCCCCTCCCGCACACACCCTCGCCAGAAGTCTGGTTTTTTTCTTCCACAAATGTTAGAGAAAACGCACACACACCACTAAGCTCAAACGATGCAGAAGGCATCGCTAAAATCGGGCCACAAGAACAGTCTAAGGGAGACCCACAGAGAAACTCCATTCAGTCAATTGGTGACAGGAAGGGCTCCCCATGGACCTTAAACCCAGAGTAACTACCCCACAAATTAGACTAACTTGAAGGATGCATATTACATCTACTAGATTTAAATCTTCAAAAAGTCAAATGAATAGTAAGAAGTATGAGAGGCGAGATTTGAATTCTTGACCTGCACCAACAAGACACTTAATTTAATTGCCATGCAGTGGCCAAGTCACCGAAGAGTCTGGGTGGTTCATTAGTATCTACAATTGGTGCACAAGCATCTTACAAAATGGAAACCATTTTGAGCTGACAAATTGACACAGTCACAGCCACAATGGAAATGTTCCAGTTGTTCCATGAATTATTGTACAGAATTTTGACTAGCAACTTCCTGTCCCAACATTGGATACTACTGTTATACAGCTACGATGTCTAGTGAAAGGAAAAGCGGCAATGCAGCATACATTAATTGGTCTTACCTCTCCAGTGCTTTCTGTACAAGCTCGAAATGGCTATTTGAAAACAAATTTCTGTTTTGAGCAATTCAAGGACACTATCCATACTCTGATGAGCATTTTCAAGTGGGAGTTCCCTCTGTGCCATAATTGAAGACTATATATATATAGTTCCCAGCATTAGTGTGTCAAATAGCAAGAAAATGCCATAAAAGCATGCCAGGAATGCAGCATAGCCAAAATGCAGATCAGTGTATGCTGTTTACTTTATATTTCAAACTATGGCATAGAATTTGCAGCACTGGAATACAAGGAATCATGATCCTTCTTTGGCAAAACATATTCCCTTACAGTAGCACCTCCTCCTCTCTCAAAACAAATCAAGCAAAGAGGGGAAAATTATAAAAAATAATAATAATAATTAAAAAAATGAATGCTTTGCTTAGATAATTATCTGACTCCTAAAGCAGCATAGCGATTTGAAGATTCTAAAGAAGTGCACTGAATGTTCTTAACTCTGTTTTTTCTAAGCGAAATTGGCTCCACTCCCGCCTTATGAGCTGCAATAACACCTATGGCTTCCCAATAATTGGAGACAGTAACCTGCAAGACGAAATCGATACGAGATGAGCTCCAATATGATGCACAAATCCAAAATTGAACTACAATGGGTATAGCCCATATTTGATTGTTTTGCCACTTCCTTGATCATTTAAAATTTCACGAGCATGTGTGTCAACAAGTAGCGCAGATATCAGAAAGCCTAGAACGAAAATAAAGAAATGGAAAATGAGCTCCAGCATTCAACCGCCTTAAGTAAATGAATTCCAAGAATCCTTCAAAACTTATACTTTTATCCATCCCTCTCTCTCTCCTGGACTGTACCATCCATAGAATTCTAGTTCCGCAAAAGGTTTTTGGCCCCACTTAACATTACAGGCGAAAAGATAACCACATACAGGGGAATGTAACGAAAAAATAACCACATACATGGGAAAGTTCACAGGGATATTCAATTTGAGACATTAATCATATCATAGCCTTGTACACGACAATAATACAAAACAATGAAAAACACAAATAAAATGAGGCCAAGTTCTTGAGATGATGAGCTTACCGCTTCAATTCCGAGTTTAGTGGGTGTATCACTCAGAACAGTTTCATTCTCTTTCACGGCTATAATAAGTGGCTGCAATAAACATAGTGTTAGTAGCAAAAGCATCTATGGTATTCACAGAAATTGCTATTCTTAAAATAATCTGTTTCCATTCAGAACCTTGTATGGTTTCCTCATTTCTAGTCTTTTAACTTGGTGAATCGCATTATTGTTTTATTGCTACTTCATTTCACACCCATTTTGTCAGATGTAAAATGCTTTACACAAGAAAATTGTTTTTGTGGACAACATCGAAGGCAGAATAAGTCAGCTTTCTAACCAACTTCTGGTGTTTGGCTACACCAGCCACTACTAAAATTGTTACTAATCCTTTCTGAAATTTATGGTACAAGATATTATTGACTAGAAGAAACTAAGAATTTGAAGAATTTGACAAGTGATAATGGAAGGAAAAAATCAAATGTAATTATACTATGCAGTAAGATATGATACCAAAATATCTACACATTTTTTGAGATGTGGGCTTTAAACAAAGAAGGGAGGAACCAAAAGGGAATAAACTTGGTAAACGCAGCTGCAAAACTTGGTATATGTACATAAGTGATACTTTTGCGTTATCCTCCAAAATACCTTATGGACTCAATAATCTTTCAAAAATTTTCAGTAAAGAATAAAATGGGAAGATGAAGAAACAATCTAAGCCCAAAAACATCGTAGGTTGGTTTGTGCGACAGAAAATGCTTTTTGTCCAATCAAATGTATCAGGGGTACTTGCTAGCTGTAGTCAGAAGTCCACAAGTAGAACAAATACTAGCCTAGGTCTTTGAGCACTGCAGCTCCGTAGAAGATAACATTTGAAGCAAGTCAGTATTTTGTTTAATAAAGGATCCTTGCTCAGACATTTAAAATCATTTGGATGAAATAAAGGAGATACCTTGATTTTCTGATTGCTTGCAAATGCACGTGCACCATCCCCTCCACATGCATTGATAGGTAGAATCACACTATCAACATCCCTTGATGTTATGCAACCTCTTTCAAGGAACTCAGAGGTCTTGACTAGGTACTGTGGGGCACCACTCAACCCAGCAAGCACACATGGCAAGAAAGTGTATCCTATCTGTTAGACATTCAGAATAAGGAGTAGTCAATTAAAGAAGGGGTGGCGGGGGCATGGGAGGAAGGAGAAGGAAATCAAGAAGAAACATACAACAAAAGGGAAAAGCAGACGTTTACAGAAAAAGCTCGCATTACACACTTTTTTATCCTATATAGTTTGTGAGCCCACAATTCTCTTAACTTACTCAAGTCTGCATCTGAATGATTGAACCTTTTATGTGCTGCCTATAGATAAAGTTACATTAATTTACAACCATAAGTTGACACAACTCGTAGTTCCAGTGGTATTGCCAACTGGGAGAGTGGGAGTATGATCACCAAGTATAAAAATGCGTAATCGATCTTTCAATTCTAGAGAGCAAAGAATATCAATCTTTCCTTTTCTAGGATAAGTGAAGAATATCATGATCTGTACTGTTAGATATTACTATTTAAATCACTAGGGTATTATAAGCAACCTATTTTAGGAGGTTCATTTCTTTGAAAATCCAGGTAGAATAACAAGATATTCTTCTTCTTGTTCTCAAACTAGATCTTAACATGCAACATTAGTGCCAAGTTTCAAAGCTATTACGTCTATCGCGCTATGTGTTCCACCCAAAGTAATAGGAACCAACTTTTGCTTAATCCCTTATTGCTATTAAAATCAGCATAGTGCACACAAAGGCCCCAGGTAGAATAACAAGATATTCTTCTTCTTATTCTCAAACTAGATCTTGACATGCGACATTAGTGCAAAGTTTCAAAGCTATTACGTCTATCGCGCTATGTGTTCCACCCAAAGTAATAGGAACCAACTTTTGCTTAATCCCTTATTGCTATTAAAATCAGCATAGTGTACACAAAGGCCTTCAGATCAGCCAAGATTAAAAACTACATAACACAATCCAAAAGCTATGTAACCAAAAAGTCTAATCCCCATTTGAATTCTATGACCCAGTTTTTACTAGATTATCAGCACATTGAGCCCATTGTACATTTCATTTTATTCTTGAATAGCTTATTGGCTGAATTGAAACACAATTATCATTTAGGTCTAGAAACACATCCACATTATGTACTCAGATATATTTGCATAAAGGCATTTCTAAAAGTTATATTCGTTTTTCATTCAGTTTTCCCTCATGGAATTAACAAGAAGATCAAATTGTTATACGAGCACTATAAAAGAAAACTACCACAAGATTGAGCTGTAAAGCACCATGTAGGCTCAAATTTGTTCTCAAAAATGTTTATCAATCAGACACAATAGGTAATCATGTTTGGCATCCACTTAGCAGATTTTCTACCAACCTCTTCTGCAGCTGATTTTGGACATAGTGGATAGCTTACTGGAGCAGGTGATACTGCAGGAGAATGGGCACAAGGAATATTGAAATTCTTGACGACTAAGTGGCTTATGATTGCCTCGACTCCAGCCAAAATATCTATTCCCTACACACATTATGAGAAGAAAGCCTGAGAAGGAGTTATGATGTTTAGAATTCTCAAAAATGAGACTGTTTCATTTTTCTTTTTCTTCTGGTGGACATAGTACAATTTTTAGTAGATATTAAATTCATAAAATAGAAGAAAAACAAAAATGCTTAGAAGTTCATCTGATAGGAGTTCCATGCAAACATGTATAGCTGACAATACAGCAGCATCCACCCAATCCATTAGATGCATCTCATCTGCTTTTCTTTCATAACATGCAGCAATTACTGGGGTTCTGTAAAATGTGTTGTCCGTGACAGACACAGAATACTGCAGGAAGTCTAACCACCAATTGCATTGATACTTATAAATCATGAAGTGTGAAAGATCACACTGGAATAAAACCTCTTTCGAACGCTACAAACATACAGAATATAGTTTATTTGGAGTTATAGATTCCACTTATGTCCTCCCAACTATAAAATGATAATAACAAGAACTCAGTAGAGATAAAACACTTCTACAATTGAGAAATAACTGGAAAAACCTCAAGTATGTAGAAACTGATGTTTGAAAAGATTTTCCTTAAATAAGAGCACCATGATAATCAGAAAATTGCATACGTTTCCTTGTCGATAAGCATCAATATCTCCAATGTCATCATCAGGGAAACGTGCCACAACTGCAACTGCAGTCACTCTGGACCTTGTAATTAATGTCTCTACAGCTCTCAATAGTGATTCAGGATGTTTTATCCTTCCAGTTGATTGTCCACTCTCTGGATCAATCCATATCTCCACCTGTAAGATTTCACATGCCTTACTCAAAGCAATCCTGGCATCTTACGTAATGGGTCAAAACCCAATGAATTCTTTTTCCCTTTTTTGGTTGGGGTTCCCAGAGGCCCACCCGTGCAGGAGGGGGGTGGTGGGAGAACGGGGAGAGCATGGGCAATTGCTCGACAATGGCCCAATAATAAAGTCGATTAAATGAACTCACACTAGTGCTTTGTACAGGATAAACCCAAATATAAGAGCAAGGAAGTGAAAATTTGGGACTGCTAGATTGCTGTAGTGGTGATACGTGCTCATCAAGTTTAGTTGGTCCAAGTAAGTACAACATATTAATAACTCCACTTTTTAAAGTTTCTTATTATGCTTTGAAGTGCATTTGAAATTATAGAAACAATGACCTAGTAGCTTGGAAAATTATCTCCAAAGGTAAAATTAGAGCCTCTTTGAACTAATTCAATTTCATGGATCATTACTGGTTATTATGTTAGCAGATACCATATATTACCTTTAAGGGAGTGTCAGTTACCATGCATTCCACAATTGGCAAGCCCAGGGAAGCCCTTGTTGCATCAGCTACTTGCAGATGGCGAAGACGGAGATCTTCCTCCAACCCAGCATCAAGTATCAATCCAACCTTGTTCACATGACAAATAGCATCATATGTTTAAATTTAAATGCTAAGCATCCTGTACAAAGTGTCAGAGAATAATACATTTATTAGCTCTCATCAGAATCACCAGACAAGATGATCTAACCAAATCATTCAACAATGAAATGTTAACAGGGAATTTCAAGCATACCCTGTTCTGGTGAACTGGTTGTAAAGCCCAGAGCCCCTCAGCAAACCGATCAAGAGCGTATCCCTCAACATATAGTACATTTGGCATCGGCCAGTAAAGCATTGCTGCATTAAGAACCTGGAAGAATTACAGATTTACCAGCAGAAAAGTGGTGATGCAGACCCAAAGGTCTGCACATTGGTTCAAACGTAATCCTGTATCAACATTCAGTTGCACCACCACAAAGTTTTCTATAGCATATTTACGTAAGTTAATACTAAGATCACAGCTGAGGACATAAGTGAAACAATAAGACATTATTAGCAACAATTTGAATATCAGATTAGTCGAGCTGTATGTTGAAGAAGAAGAAACGTAAGTAGAAAATGGAATAACAAGAAAAGTAGACTGGCCAAGGACTTTAAAGTCATCTTCCAAAATCCACTTTAAAGTCCACCTCCTTAAAATCGACTTCCATAAATTTATGGCAACCAAATAAAACTATCAAATTTCTATAATTTAGATAAATGATACGATCATTATCTTATAAATAGCCCATCAACTAGGCTATCCGAATTCAGATGTAAAGGAACTGACTTTGGGATAACCAATCCAAGATTATCCTTCAGACATGGTTTGATAGTTTGCACCATGCTTAATTCTTGAATTAAGCTCATTGGTACAGACCGAAAAGGTTCCATAAAAAATAATGCGCCTCTTGTTTAATCAATTACCAAAAAGGATATTTTAACATATTCTGCAAAACATTGCACCACTAAGGATAAAAATTTTAAACCATTGAGCTGAGATATAAGAATGTGTGTTTAAAAAAGAAAGAAAAAAAATTGCACATAAAGTTCAAGAAGAAGAAGATACATTAGGATGCGTGATGAGGCAATCAACAACAGTGGAAAGAGCTCGAGCCACAGGCAAGGCATCGCCAGCATAGCCACCAATGGCCGCACCTACTCCAGTCGGCACTATCATCACACTTGTGTATGCCCTCTTGAACTGTTCTACAGAAACCAACCCCAAAGAACAATAATTGAAATTAATGGAAAATTCAACATCAGGCCGCCAAAGGAAACGAAAAATTAACATCAACTGACCACTGAAAACAGCCTAATTAAACATAAAAATGCAAACTTTAACGGAAAAAGAAAACAGGAGAAGACGAAGAAGAATTGGACTGACCTTGTTGTTGGGAAGATGGAGTGAGTTGGAACATGAGAACTTGCTGCATTTTGGGAAGGAAGGGCGGTGGGATTGGCGGAGGAGAGGAAGGGTATGGCCGGCGGTGGAGGTGGAGGTGCCAAAAGAGAAGAATGGACGGCTGGGATATAGCAGTGTCATAGCTGCTTTGGTCTTCAAGATTGTGTCCCCGCGCTCCGGGGAGGGGAAGGAGGATGGAGGAGTTATTTGAAAAAAGAGATAATGAATGAAACTCTTAACATTTTGTTCAAATTGTGGAAAATAAAAATACAAAAAAAAAAAAGAAGAAAGGGTAGATTGCATATTGGTACTAGAAATTATGAATGTGACATCACACTAGAAATAACTAGTAGCTAGGGATGATCCAAAGTGCTCCTCCACTCAAAGTCAATTCAATTGAGTTTGCATATGTTCAACCCAATGGAGGTGTAAATATTTTTTTGATATTAGGTTCAACATTAGAGAAACTCAATCTTCTTGTTTGTTTTAGTGAGTTTAAACTCGTTTGAGTGTTGTTTGATAATATTCTAAGTTCTAAACAAGCTCAAATAAGTGTTTGGTAGGCATAGCTCGTACCAAACTATATATATATATATATATATATATATATATATATATATATATATATATATATATATATATATATATATATGTTATGTAAATATCTTATGTTATGCTTTAGTACAAGTCAGGTCTTAGTTAAATTTATGATGTACAAAATCTTTTTGGGATTTAGTTAGTTTGATCAAGTGAAAAATGAATATGAATTCTTTTTTCTTTAGTCAAGTTTGATTTAAATATTAAGTAACTTGGTTCATTTTTTATTTTATACTAGTTATTTTCAAACTCGAGTTTAAATATAATTTCAACAAAATTGTTCTTTGAAATGAGATTTTGGTCTTTTACTACAATTGATTTTACTATATTCAAACTTTTAGTGTAAAGCAATTATTGACCTTAATTTTCTTCGTCTCTATCTATGTGCTGATAAATTTGCTATTAGATTTTCATTGATGAGCAGTAGATTTATTTTTTCTAATCAAAGATTTTGCCAACTTCACAAGGAATATGAGACATAAACGCATACATTTTTCGGGATTCTATCCTAAGGGCGTATGAGCAGATATTAAATTGATCTTGGTATTAGAATCTTCTCTTTCAAAGAATATCTACATGCATATAAATATTTGAGGATATCTTTCATATTCAAAGATCATTATCGTAATTAAATTCAGGACCATGAAACATATTGAATTTTACACATGAAAAAGTTTTTTTTTTCCAAAATGTAAGTACTTCAATTATATTTATTTCAAATAGACCCTTTTTTTCTAAATTGCAGGAGATCAAATGTGTCATATTGTGTTTAATTCTTAAAGTGTGATTAAAACTAACCTAACCTAACTAGAGTAGTAGCGCCATCTCATTCTAACGGTAATTAAATGTCACTTGCATATTTTAATCGGGGATCAACAATTTTATATATCTTTAATAATATAGAATAATCAAGATTTGCCAAAAAAATTTTCAAATTTTGCTTTACTCATATCATAAACACTAATTTTAACCACCTTTTTATTTCATATGCGTCACATCACAAAAAGTGTTACAGTATTATTCAGATTTTTTTTTTCAAATAATCTCCCACCCAAACTGGCTTGTTACATGAAATACCTCCTGCAGAATGATTCCTCTGCTACCAATCAATCAACCCCTTTTTTTTTGTGTGTGTTTGGTGTTTGGGGGGAGGAGGTGGGGGAAAATTTACGTACGTATTTAGTATGGAAGTATTTACAGAAAATTTACGTACTACCAATCAACTTAGTATGGAAGTACAAAACTTTTCTGTAACTTGTTTTCCTTCTTTTTCCCATCCTAATATTTACGTACGCATGCATTTAGCGCTCAATACAGCACCATACATCATTCACGTATCCTGCATGAAAAGAAAATGAACAAGAAAAATTCAAGGAATCAATAATAAGAATAAAATGCTTAAGCATATCATCACATCCTAACTTGATAGAAGCAAGCAACTTCTTCTACAGTGATATTCTAATGAAAAAGAATTAAAGAAAGAGCAAAGATTTCGAGGTGAAGCCAAGGTTCCTCATTTGGAAATTTTGATCTTCCAATTTATTCTGTACCTGCTTTGACTCGTCAAGCAATAAGCTTCAAGGGCCTCATCATCACATTATCTTCGTGGTCCAAGATCTGAAGAATTAAACCCAAATCAAGAGGAAAATGAATCAAGAGACCAAAACCTAACTGTTAAGTTTGCCGATTTCAGTGGAAAGACCAAAACCTAACTGTACAAGAACAAACAAGAATGTAGATTCTACTAACCTTTTCTGTGAAAATAAGATTTAATGCATCCTAAACTTCTTTAATCAACTAGTAATTGGCGGAACATAAAAAACAGTCAAGGGAATAACTAAAAGAAGATGGTGAAGTGATGAAATAATTAAGAGAAAAAAAGTACATCCAACTTTTTCTTCTTTCCATTCATTTGCTGCAACCACACCTAAATGACAAACATAAGTAAAGTGATTCCCAGAGGAAGATGGTGAAGTGATGAAATTAAAAGAAAAAAAAAAGGTACATCCATCCTTTTCTTCCTTCCATAATTCCATTCATTAGCTGGAAGCATAACTAATTAAATGACAAACACAAGCCAACACTTTCTTACAATGTGACCTTTAAATGGCTATAAGCTTTTCTCCAATGGAAGCACTTTCATCAACAAATTAAAGTGTCTAAAAAGGCAAATTTTGGAACTCTCTCTCTCTCTCTCTCTCTCTCTCTCTCTCTCTAGATTGAAGACTAAAGAGAATCCATGAAAGGATAAAAAATTGTCCTCGTAACCAAAATGATCTTGCTATTCTCAATTTTATCTGCGCTCTATCGGATTCTTTTGTCTTTTTCTTTCGAAGCTGATGCAGTAGAATGCTAGTCATCAGGACTTTTTACTGTAATACAATAACATGGTAAATTTTTTGGGTTCAATTTTTTGTGTTAGGTATACTTGAGAGTAAATTTTCTACACACATAACATAACATAAATTTTCCAGTATACATTACCAAAAGTTTAAAAGACAAAGAAATCATGTCGCAGCTGATCCCAGAAATTAGACCTTATTATAATCATTATCAAATTAATAAGCAAAGATTTGTTTGCAATAAATGAGAAAAAGGATGATATATACTCACATGGCAGTGGTAGACATAGCCAGGCTTTGAAGTTGCATCAAAGGGGTAGGATTCATTCGAGTGTATGAAAGAAAATCTCACCAGTATCTTTGTAACATACCCAGGCATCATCTTGTACACATTCTTCCACCCTCTTTCATGAGCTGGCACCAACACCTTTTTGCCACGTGCGTATTTGCTGACATGGCACTTAATTGCGTCATTGTACTTCAGCATGCAATCCTTAAATTCATCTTCCTTAGCCAACTCTGTCTGATCCAACACTACAAAAAGCCCCAAATGGATGTGCAATGGGTGATTATCCTCCGTCAGATTGATCACATACCAAATTTCACTGCTCCCAACTTTTGGCATCTCGGTTGCGGGCGCCTCGTATGGTTTTCCATTGATGTACAAGTGTGTGGGCTCATCAACGTTGCTAGTGTACTCGTACAGGGCAATGTACCTTGTGTGGGCCACCGGAGATGCATCGGACGACGACGACGACGGATACTTGATCAATTTTTCCGGGATTCTTGACTCGTCGACTTCGTGATGTGTGCTAATGATGAATTTCATCACCTTACTGTTAGCTTCATTAACAGGATCTCCTGATGGGTAGGGATATGGTGCATCATTGGCTAGGATAGCTGAATTGGATTTTGACTTTGAAAAGTCAACCACCACGTTAGCAATCTCGGACGGGGCCAATACCATTTCTTTAAGGGTTACCGGCCGCTCGTGATACGCTGAGTCAGATGCCACGTGGATGAACGTCAAATTATCTGTGAAATAGAACTTAAAGAATCGAGCGTTACTCGCGTTGATGATCCTGAATCGGTACTTTCTCCGCCGTACGATCATGTAGGGCCACGCTTTACCGTTGACTATGATCGCGTCGCCAAAGTACTCCGGCTGCCATTGAGGGTGTATGGTAGGGTTATTTCCGGTGGAATTCATGAAAATCGAACCGTCTACACGGAAGCCACGATCAAATACGACCAACGGCCGATCAAATTCATCGTCATACGGTAGCCCAAGTGGGACCTCTAAATCCGGTTGGCGGATGACGTAGGCCCCAATCAAGCCAGCCAAGAGGTTGACTCTAGTCAACCCCATTGCATGATCATGGTACCATAGGGTTCCAGGGTGTTGGATGTTATGATAATGGTATTTTTTCTTAGTCCAAGTGGGTCCTCTCTGTTTAAAATTCCTAGTGAACCATGATTCTGAATGCCCATCACTCTCAGGTTCATGAATGCCACCATGAAGGTGCACCACCGTAGGAACTCCCTCCTTCGTAGAAGGTATAGCCGTTGGAATTGTTGGATCCCATGGGAGTATGTGCTTTGAAGGGAGGTGATTTCGCCAACTCACATGCGTACCGATCCCGTGAACGGCCTCGATTGTTGGTCCAGGGACGGTGGCTGTATGTCTCGATGTACCATACGCAAACACTGGTGTTGCAGGGATATCCCTATGGAATTTCTGCAGCAAATTCACGAGCATTGTTGGTAATTATTTCCCCAGAAGTTTTCCAGAGAAAGTATACAGAAATTAATTGCTAATACCAGAGAAAGTATACAGAAATAAACTCTGTTAATAAATAAGAAAGTTTCATATTGCACAAATAGTTTAAAGCCAAATCTTATTCAAAGGGTACACATGTTTAATAAAACATGTTGTACAATCAAGGTGTACATGTTTAAGACATTTTGCTGAGTTGAAGGTAATTGTTCGTTGCCATCGTCCATGATTTCAAGCATATTCTTATATAAGTTAGTGCCATCTGTTTTTATGAGGTATAGGTAAAAGAAAGAAGCTAAACCAAATTGGATTATTATGTTCTGAAGTGATTAAAAATTTATTTTTCTTAAGAAAATGACAATCCAAACAGGAATAAATCAAAACATATCGACCTGGGCCTTGTTTTTTGTGGTTTTTTTTGGGGGGGGGGGGGGAAGAACCTTAATTATACATGATTTAAAGCTAGCATAGTTCGTGAATC